TTTTCTTTTTTTTTTTAAACAAAAGCATTTAATAAACAGTTAATGATGATGACTATGATGGTGATGAAGGTGTCTGTCTGTCCAGGCAGAGAGGTTCCTGAGCTGTGGCAGGTCGGCTCCATCACTCCACTGTTCAACCAGACCATCGTCGAAGGACCACACAGAGGTTTGCTCTCATTTATTATTAATGTTAGTGACAATGAGTTGTAAAACCAGCAGGTGGCAGCATTAACTCAGGACACAGCCACAGGATGCCAGTGTGGGAGCCAAGAGATAAGTATATGAACACAGTTTTAACATAATCGACAATCTGACACTCAGGAGAACAGATAAATTTAGTCGTTTTGACCAACCACACAAATGCAGAGTTTCAGCATCAGGCAGCACCAAACCAAAACAGTGAGGAGTCAGAAATTCTCATGTAACGCTACTTACAATATAAACAAAGGAGAGCTGCCTTTGACTGACTTTAAGTCCCAGAACGAAACATTCATCAGCACGTTAAAAAAATCTGGAGTCTGGAGTCATGTGATGTGTTTGAGGCCACAGAGGAGAAAACTTGATCCAATAAGTTTTTGTCCCTTTTTTACATTTATACAAAAATACAGATGTGAAATTAAAATCTGTCAGTTATTTTTAAAATTAGAATAATAATAAAAAATAGAAGAAATGCAGTCAGTCCTTTCGACTCTTGTACCCTGTACACTCTGAGTGATGCCAGATTTGATGACTTGGACATTATTTACTTTGGAAAAATACATTTTCTGCTGTATTTTCTGAGCACTTTTAGTTGAAAATAAATAACTGTAAACCTGCAACTGCCGGTACAGCCTGTGCTTTAGCTCTACTTGTTTGAGCCACTCTTAGAGGTTTTTTGACTTCTTTCTAGAGCATCTAGAAATGTTACCAATTCTGTTTCACTGTTATTTTCTTGAATAAAACCCATTTTAAATGATTTTAAGGATGTAAATAATATTTGTTAGGTTGTGATTTTACTTCTTACATCCCCTGCAGCCCAGCCGACATCTGAAATCACATCCATCCATAAGATGACCTTTAACTCACCTCCAAGATCTCATATATTCACATATTTTAGTTTGAATATTTGACATTTTTCTAGAAAATAGTCATGTCAAATGTACTTCCCTTCTCTCTTTAGTCCAAATACAGGTTTCCCGCTTTTGCTAACTTTAAGTCCTACATCATCCTGATGGAAAAGAAATAAACAAACCAATTCCCACAAATAAATTAGATCCTAAACATGCCATAAAAACAAATACAAAGGCTTAAATTCTTTATTCTTTAAGGCACATTGTTGTTTCAAAGTGCTTTCCAGTATAAAAGCATAGAAACGTGCTAAAAAAGTGACTTAACAAGTTTAAATATTGAGTTTAAGACCCTGTCGTGTTATTTAAGGTGGGATTTACCTGAGTCATTTACACATTAGGGATCAAAACACAACAAAAATGATATAAAACACTACTTTAACCAAGTATAATACATTTTGAGGCTAAGACTCTACTGTGCCATTAAATATAGACAAAAAATAACTAATGCAATAGTATAATCAAGACCCTACAGCAATTTAAATTACTTAACCAATATAGATATTATAAATATTAAGGCTAAGACCCCAGAGCATTATTTGCTATGGAGATTAGCCTGATTAATTTAATCTAAAGTTTTAAACTAACAAAAATCTACATAAAAACCCAACACATCCAGATGTAGCAGGTTGAAATAAACCAGAATGTTCCTTGAAGTCTGAATGCTGCAGCCTAATTTTTTTATACGACTTGGTGGTGAATTAACAAAAAGCTGGAATTCGATGTCAATAAAATGTGTTCACTCCGTCTTTTCTCGCCTGAACTTTTCTTTTTCCTCTTCAAGTAGCGAACGTCTCCTCCTTCAGACTGCCGGTTGGTGAGTTCATCAAAACGCTCATTTCAAGCATCTGCTGTCATCAACATAACAACTCGAGGGCCCATTTAATTCTTGTCTCTGAATGTCTATTTAAAACCCCAGAATGGCACCAACTGCCCACGAATCTGAGTCACATGTCTCCATCTGGGATGAGCTCCATGTTAACCAGCAGAGTCCATTCGACAGCACACGGTGAGTCTCTGCAGGAGGTTTGGTTCCGTTTCTGCAACTCGCTCTGTCAAATCTGATGACTGCTGACAGGAAACTGGCAGCTAAGATTATCCAGAGCAACTTTTCAAAGCCTTAAACAAGAAAAAGCTCCATGTTTATCAGTATAACACACAATTAAATGAAAAAAATCTGTTCTACATATCACCTTGTTAGATTCTGTGGAGGTCAATCCAAAGTTACCATCCAGTCTTGCTACACTACTAGAAGAAATCATAGAATCATAAAATCATAGTGTCTCATCAAAAACCCTTTGTCCAACATGTGTCATTCAATATTTGCAACCCTGATCTTATAAAATAAAACAAAACTAGATGGGTCTTTTTAGGAAGAGTCTTAAGACGTTATTTAGATTTTTAAAGGAAAGTAGGTGGCAAGAAGTAGCCAAATGTACTGTATTTAAATGTATGACCCTTGATCATTTGTAAACTTTAAAACAAACTGCTCAAACTGCAAGCTTTTTTTCTTTATCATTAAATCTCCTAATCAGCTATTTCTGTTAACCTTTTAGTCCATGTGCTACAGAATAAATGAAATACTTTCAATGTCTATTGAAGTTAGTTAAGTGTCTGACGTTTCTCCAACGAGCAAATAAACAGCAACGTGTTTCAGTGCTTGGTTGATCAGAATTTGTGTTCTCCAGTCGTTAGTCAGAGCCGCTGAGCTGTGCTTAACCTAAACTGAGATCTTTCATTGTTCTGTCTGTGTTTCTTCGATCAGCTTCACCGGCAACTCTGGACGAAACGGCTGCAACAACAGAAAAAGTTACTGCTGTTCAGCCGCTTGCAACGGCTCGACAACCTGCAACCTTCGTGCCGCAAAGTCAAACTACAGTCGAAAGGTCGGAGACGACGCAAGCAGCGACGACCGAAAGATTCACCACACAAAGAGCAGCATCAACTGTAGCAATATCCCAAACTCAAGCTACAGAAACAACAACAATTACAACCCCACAACAACCAACAACTACTGTGTTAATAATGACAGCTGCAGCTCTAACCACAGTACCGGCGCCATCAACCATAGCAACGCCTCGACCAGCCACAGCAACACCTAGACAAACCACAGCAACATCTCAACCAACCGCAGGAACGTTTCCACCAACAACAGCAACATCTCAACCAACCACAGGAACGTTTTCACCAACGACAGCAACATCTCAGCCAACCACAGGAACGTTTCGACCAACTACAGCAACGCCTCGACCA